GTGTGTGTGTGTGTGTGTGTGTGTGTGTGACTCCTGAATCTTCCAAGGTTTAACCATTGCCAAATGTGAGCATTACAGGGCTTAGTTGTAGCAGTCCTTTGGTGACTTGGTATACAGAAGGACTTGGCAAGGTTGCTCTCTCACTCAGCACACACACACATACAAACACACAAAAATAAGATACTATAACAAAAAGTTTGACTTTTTCTTTATTTTGTGGTAAATGGATAGGCTAATGCATCTCTAGTGAGCAATAAACCTCAACCCAAAGTGCAACCAGTGAATTTCCTATTCAAGGTCAGTTGGTAGACCGCTTCGAAAAGGTCCTCTCTTTCTTGCCTGTGACAGCTTGAAGTGAGTTGATGCATGCGACTAATGCGAATCGAAGGGAGGCTTATCACTCTCACTACAAAACAGGATTTTTCAACATAAACCCACAAGGTATTTTCAAGGTAGCCAACAAAAAGGCCTTTCTGCTTCTTTTTTTCAATCAAATTTCAGTTTCTATTCATTACTGTGTCTACCTTCACCTTTTATTCAACAGAAACGTAGCTTCAGCATTTTATAAAGGGGGCTCCACTATAGCATTCGAACGTTACTTTACCTATAAACTCTATGATCTTTACTCTAAAGAAACAAATGCTATAATTATTCATTTTAAATTCAATTTAAAATGCAAGAAAATGATCTCCTTTTATCTAAACAGTCACTAATAAAGCACATAAAAAGATTAATGAACACAAGAAGTCAAAGTGAAAATGGAAAGACCTCAGTCAATTTCAAGCTAGACGGTTTCAAGAAATATCAATAAAATCATTTTGGTCCAACCAGAATTAATGAAATATGAAAAAATGAAAGCACCTTGATAAAGGCAGACATTTTGGTTTGACAACAAGACAAGAGCAACAAAACAAAACAACGATCTTARTGACGCAAGCGTATCTGCCCATCACTCTTAGAAAGAACAATTTAGACTTATGGAGCGAAAAAGATGATTTAAAAACAGAYAACATTCAGGAAAATTGCCAGACTTCCCAAGACTGGATGTCATCAAATGCACCCAACATCAGACAATAATTGATCAAAGACAAAAAAGCTATCTATTCATCACACTAAACTTTATATGTTTTATTTAGTATGTTAAATCTAAAAGCTTTAAACAACTAGGTCTGTCGCAATAGGCATTAAATCAATTAATCGCATGATAAATTTAAATGAAGTCGATAAAAAAATTTAGGTTGATAATTTTAATTTGCCTGCTTGTTTGTTGTGTTTCCCTCTTATTACTCCTTAGCACAAGGAGGAGTGAAAGGGATCCATGACTAGTTGTAACATTAGACTTTTTTTGATAAACTTTTATTTTAACTGTAAAATAAAGACTGTAAAAATACTGTAGGCTGTTTAGTTTAGTAAAATTTTTAAAATATATATTTTAACACGGACGGAGCCATTTTATTTACATGCAAAGCATTCTGGGTAAATGATGACGTGGATAGGTCCTCAGTGTGAGCGAGCTATATCCACCCTGAAGGTTAATCTTGGACAATATCTGATGATTGACTCATTTAAATGAAACCAGAGAGCGTTGACAGAGAGGAGAAGGTAGAAATGATTCAGTCTACAACTGAAAATGTGTATGGAGGACAATAGAGCTGCTTCATGGAATAAGAACCTCAGCTTAGCCTGTTAGCCTTTGAGCTAGTGCCAACACTATTTTGCCTTATATGTATTAGCTCAGCGCTAGCGCCACAAACTAACAAGCTAAATTGAAGTCCTCCATCCATATTTTCAGTTGCAGGCTGAGTCATTTTTGTGTTCTCCTCTCTGTCATGTGGATGGAGGACCTCAGTGCCAAGAGGAGAATCTGTAGCGCTGAGCTAATACATATATATGGTGATAACATCTGGGCTAATGCTAAAGCTAACAGGCTAAACAGTGGTTCTTCTTCCATGAAGCAGCTCTGTTGTCCTCCATCCATATTTTCAGTTAGAGGCCGAGTCATTTCTACCTTCTCCTCTCTATCAACGCTCTCTGGTTTCATTTAAAAGAGTCGATCATCAGATATTGTCCAAGATTAACCTTCAGGGTGGGTATAGCTCGCTAGCAGCCTCGCACCGATGACCTATCCACGTCGTCATTTACCCAGAATACCTTGCGTGTAAATAAAACAGCCCCATCCGTGTAATATATTTTTAAACTTTTAGTTTAAAAATTATAAAAACTAAACAGCCTACAGTATTTTTACAGTTTTTATTTCACAGTTAAAATACACGTTTATCAAATAAAGTCTAATGTTACAATTAATCATGGATCCCATGAACTCTCACGTCAGATATTTGTCAAGTACATGGTCTCGTAACCTCGGTATAKCCCCATGAACAGGTATTAACCTAGAGGAGTGTTGATTTGCTGACGCCTTCTTTTAGATAAAGACGTATTAAGTTGCCATCAGAGCCCTCGGGGTTTGCCAAGAGTATTTTTTTTTAAATTAAACTACATAAATTGCGTAAACTTCCATAAATTTCATAAGCTGTGTGCAGGTGACTACAATTATTTTATGAAGACACATAGAATAAATTGCACTGGCTTGGATAGAGGATGTGTGTAGCGATGTTACAGCTTYAGTAGCTGTTGTGGGTTGTTGTGGTTCAAGTCTGTAACTTTTTTCACGTATGTAAATTTCATTAACTTCTGTACGCTTCGTAAGGGGGAGATGCGATCATCATATTAGCTTAAAATGGTCTCCAAACAATATTGTCATTTATCACAATTTCTGAGAATTTATTGTCTAGATTATATTTTTTATATATCATGACAGGTCTACTAACAATATAACGTAATTAGAAAAAGATGGGAAAAGTGTGGCTTGATAGGTAGGTAGTGGTTGTGTTTGACACTGGTTTAGTCCTTTGGATTAAGGAATCAAATAGGTAAAATGTCATTATTCAGCTAATCAATTTATGTGTAGCAGGTAAAAAGTGTACAAAATGCTTCAAAGATTAAAAAAAACTTTTGTTGAACCTACGTAAGTTCAAGAGGTGTGAACTAGGGATGCACCGATAGGAAAATTTCAGCCGATATCGATATCTGACATAATTATTGCTGTAATGGCCGATAACCGATATTTACCGATATTACAAAAACACAAAAATTATATTACACATATACCCACAAACACACTTGGGTCTGTTTCAGTACTGTAAATAAACAACCAGACCTCTGACATGGCTGTCTACCTTAGTTATTCCTGGCTGTGCAGCGTCAATATCACTATCATGATCAAACAGATGCCGCTCAATCAACCATCTCCCCTCCCAAAACAGAAACTAAAGCTAAAGAGTGGGAAATCAATATCGGACGTTAATATCGGCCAAGTTTTACATATCRGACCGATACCGATATTCTAGAAAATGACCAATATCGTCCGATACCGATATGAATACCGAAATATCGTGCATCCCTAGTGTGAACCATTTTCTTTAAAATGGTTGTATAAAGAATGTCTCATCTTAAAAAAAAGAACAGAGTCACTTAGTAAAGTTTCTGTGTTAACTCAGTTTTTCTTGGACACAACAGAACTGGACCATTGGAACTTTTCTAAATCATCCTCAATGTTTTTTTCCAAATACATGGTTTCGGAATTCCTCAATAAAGTTTATAAATGTTATTAGTCTTCTAGGAAAAGTAAGCCAACATGAAAAAAGAAAAAATACCTTTTAAAGGAAACAAGATCCTTGTCAAACCCCACACTCTGTCCACCCAATAAAGACTTCCCCAACACTTTCACCTACCTGAGCGCTCAACCAAGTTCTTTTCCTTGCTCTCGCCAAGGTCGTAGGAAACTTTTTTCTCTCCTCTCTTCTCTCCGTGTCTACCTTTTCCGGCGTTCCTCCTCTTGTCCTGCTCCTCTTCATCTGAAGAGGAGCAGGAATTATTGGCGCTGCTGCCGCTGGTGAAGTCAGCCAGGTAATCTGGTCGTTGACGTCTTGGCGTCTGACTGCATTCTGGCATGGAGGTCAAAGGCTGGCAAGGACACATACATACGCAGATATGAAGCACATCCTCTATCGAATAATCTTAGTGCCAGAATGTAGAAAATCCGATGAATATATAAAAATTTCTGAACTAATTTAATTAGCTTCCTCATTGTAAAATGTGTTAAATGTGAAAAATTATTTAAGACTGGAAAAAAGGACTTTAGTTAAATATTTCAATACCAATGAAAACTCACAAGAGTACCAGTATGTATGTACGCTGGAGTTTTTTTGTTTTGTTTTGTTTTTGTCAAGGGCAGTTTGTAAAAATAAGAACAATTCATGATTTGTATATGGAGTTGATTAATTTGTTCTTCGGCATTTGGCCCTTAAATATAACCATTTAATATTATGTAAAACAAAAAGGTGATTTAAAATAAATGGGCTATTGCTTTGAACAGGGTGTGCAATAATCAATAATAGGAATTGCAATAATAATCAATAATAACCAATATAATCAATAATCAATACTAGGAATTGCACAACGGTCAGAATAAACTACTCAGAAACACCATAGAAACACAAACCACCTAAAAAACAGTCCTGTGTTATTATACAGCCTGCTGCACAAACTATTCAGGCCACCAGTGAGGATTTCATTGAGGTGATGACTTTGGTTAGTACCCAAAGAATGATAAGAAAGTGTAAAATTATCACAATATCCTAGTTTACTTTCTTTTGGATTTGCTGGTTGTTACGTGTCTAGCAGATTTGTTTTCTTCCTCCTCTTTCTTTTCTCTATTTTCAGGTTCAGCTTGCAGGCTGGAGCCAATTTGGATCTTTAAAGGCTGATTGGATGGAAGAGTTTCGAACAGACCAACCAGGACTCCACCACACCCTACTTAAGAAGCTCACCTGGAGGTCTGGGGTGGCTTCTTCTCCTCCCTGCTGCAGCTGCTACTGCTGATTGCCTGGTGCACCTGTGCTGCTGCTGGTCCTCCTGTGGAACCTGCTCCATTGTTTAAAGGTTTGTGGTGGGAGTTAAGAGGACTAGGTAAGTTTGGGGTACCCTGTACATTTTTCATCACGTAGGTACCTTTATGTTAAAAACACTAGGTAAGTAGGTTGGTGCCACCCATGTAATGTTTTGGTGAGACCTTTTTTTTGAGAAGTTTATCAGGGTGTTTTTCTTTCTTTGTTTTCTATTTAGACCAGATTGTAGACAGGCCCTGTTTTGTTTTGCTTGTTTCTTTTGTTTGGCACCACACCTAATGGTCCCTTTCTCCCCCACAGTGGTACAGCCTTTTGGAGCAGAGTAACAAAAATAAAACTTTTTATACACCTTTGCAGTGACTCTTGTCTATTTATTGTGGTTGTCGTGTTGCTGCCCCTTGTTTAAAGGAAGGGGTCGTAACACTGGTGTTGTGTCAAAAAGCACCCCTGCCATAAACAACACCTCTGTCACAGGAAGCACATTRACGCAAGTGCACAGAGTCAAGCATATCATTGCTGTGCTACCAACAGATATGTCTGTCTTTTAATCCACTTGGTATGCTCAGGGCTTTTGGATGCTGATTAATTTAAAAATAGCAAAAACTAAACTAATCAATCAGCAGACTGATCAATTGGTCAACCTCTAATTCACACACCGTTATAAATGAACATGATGAACTGAGTTGACGTTGGCCTAGCATCACGTCAAGTCTTTGAGCATTTGTCACAGGAGACCAGGTGCCAGTCAGGCAATATGTTATAAGCACAATTAACATGACCATCCTTTAAACCTTCACCTAAGTACTGTAAAGTACATGATAAATTCAAGGTGAAATCTTTTATTCATTCTTTACTGTTTAACATATATGCTTCTTTAGATGAAAAAGAACATAAATGCATATACATAGGATGTGATATCACTGGGTGCTTCTTTGACAGCAGTTTTATTAGAAGCAACAAGGTGAAAACACTTATGTTTGTWAGTTCAAGTATAGTGTATGAAGTTACTTTTTTTTCTTCGTATACCAATAAATATATTGGTCTATCTCACATCATGGAAGGACATGAGCTGATAACATTTATAAAGCATTTATACATCTGTTATTCAGCATTCAGCTCGAGCAGTGCTGTCAGGCCACTCAAATTAATAAGCAGGAAGTGATCACAAGGCTTACACAGTCACCGCTGGGTAGCTGTGTGGGTGAGTGATAGACGAGGATAGAGACAGAGAGATTAAATACATGAGAGGAGAATAAGAGGGGAGATGGGAACATCAGATTGATGAGGTGAGACATGAAGAGGAGGGGCAAGGTGAATCTCAGCATGGCAGCAGAAAGGAACAGAAAGGAGAAACTGAATGGATTGAGAGCGGCGGAAATGAACACCAAGAGAAAGAGATTCTGGACATAAAAGAGGGGATAAAAAGGATACAAGAACAGACTGTGACTAAACAGTGGAGAGCAAGGCAAAGACAAAAGATCAGACACTGTAAAAATGAGATGAAATTTTGGATGCATTAGGGGGAGATGTGAGAACGGCAAGCAGTCTAAATAAGGAGCTAAAAGAAGGATAGACAAAGAGTAACTGCAGTTATCAAAATTAGGATGTGGAGTTCAAATTATTAAGGCTATAAAAACCTTCCACTTTCTCAACCTTTAACCCTCTCTGCCTGAATATTATTTTTAGCTCTAACAAACATTGTACTTTCCTTCTGACAGTACGACGGTTTCTAATCTTTTGCCACAATCCGCACTTTAAACTTTCTCATACTTGTTGGTTCAGCTTCAGCAGATGGCTTGTGAGCGCCGCACCCTGAGGAGCGAATCTAGCCGTCACAGCGCTTTCCTTCCCCGCGTTATCGATGTCTCCCTCCATACGCTTTACAACATCGAAACTGACGGGTCTCAAATTATTCTGGACAACAGCGATTGTGTATGAACAAGTCTTCACTTTCAGCAAAGACCTCACAAATGCAGTGCTGAACGTCGACGTCTGGTCTCTAACGCACTCCCAGAGCGTTCCCGTCAATTTGGCCCTCGAGTGGGGGATGGGTGTACGAGTACAGAGAAAGAAAGGGATGGAGGGGTGAACGGAGGAGAGCGAAGCAAGGTGATGGAGGGAGTAATGCACTGTTGCAAGAAATTGTGAGGAGGCTTATAAGTGGATGTGACAGAGCGATAGAAAAAGTGGATGATAGACAGAAGGAGAGATAGCAGGAAGAGCACGAGGGAGAAAGCCTGACAGTTGTCCCCTTGGGGAGTTGGGTCTCTTCTTCAGGTCTCTTTCTGAATCCTTTCAGTCTTCGCAGAACTGCTACTCCTCCTCCTTTTTTTTAGGAATCACATCTGGTGTGCTTTCTGTGAGCGTTCGCTCCAGGCATCTGACTACCGGCATCCCTTCTCCTCTGACACTCTTCTTTTTTTAGGTCCCATGAGGCATCTGGACCCTATTCTCTTTCTGCTCTTCGTCTCCCTACCTCTCTCCCTTTCACCCACCTTTGGGCCTCGTTGCCTGGAGGGTTTGCCCATCAGCTTCTCGTCATCCAGTTCACATTGCTCCAGTAGATCCAGTATATCTTCCTCCTATGCATTAAAGCATACAGACAAGAGGTTAGATTAGAAAATGTCAAAGAAACATAGTCGACTTCAAACACGGTGCCTAAACTGTGATCCACATGTGAAGTCTCAGAAAACTAATAATTCTTCAATTAAAAATGGTAAAAAGTTTGACTTCAAATGTATAGGTGATGTATCTGCAGGACTAAAAGGAAGCTGAATTTGTACAAAAAAATCATTATAGTTGTCAGTGACATGGTGATGATTTTCACAGGTGACAGTTATTATAAAGGGTCTTAATGTCTTTTGAGAAGGGGACCTAACGGGCTTCAACTTCCTGCTCAAATTCAGAGTGATGTTTTTTTTTTATCTCATAACTCACGATGATGACTTGTGGGCACATACGTATAGTGTGCTATATTTTCTTATCTGGAACACCTAATCTGTGTTAAAACATGCATAGAGCCTGTACAATAAGGAACACTACATCACACCAACACAGTTGTGCTACATGTTGCACCTCTGATTCAAGAAAACCAGTGTAAAATCAGGTACACCAGTTCTGTGTTAAACAAATTTAGCTGCTGTATGAAAGTGATTTGGCTTTTTGGATGTAAGTTTTTTTTTTTTACATTTTTGTTATAAATACACAGCATTGTAATTCTCCATTAACTCACCTGTCTATAAATCAGTAAACTGGGTCTAACCCCAGTATCTATATGGATATTTATTGGTTTCCTTGAATCACGTAAACTATCTACTGCAAAGCTCATTTTAAATAGCACACATATTAAAATTAATACACATTAAAAAACATCAAAGCTCTACAGAACTGAGGGGAAAAAATGAAAACAAGGCAACTACATTTGCTCAAACCAACTTGTACAAACAGCCATAAAGAGCTAAAAACTCAAATTTGAGCTTTTTATATTATCATTTTCACAGGAAAATTATACTTTACCCTGCTTTATATAAAAATTTACAAATAACAGGTATTTTTTGCCTCAATGAAAGTCTGTTGCCAGCTCAATAACTTTTTACGAGGTGAAAGCTTCCACAGCTATGGTGGTTAATAATCACTGGAGGCCCATTACTTTGTTAAATAACACCAAGTGGGTTACCGGAATGTTTTGACTTGCTTTACAGCACAGGAGAAAACCAAATTTGACACATTTGTAAAAAATGTAGATGAAATAAAAATGACATTTACAAAATTGCTGTGAGAGTGTGAATATTTGTCTCTTTTGTCTTTATGTGACCCTGTAATAGATTTGTGACTTGTCTAGGGTGAAATGGATAGATAAATGTATACAGGTCCTTCTCAAAAAAATTAGCATATTGTGATAAAGTTCATTATTTTCTGTAATGTACTGATAAACAATAAACTTTCATATATTTTAGATTCATTGCACACCACCTGAATTAGTTCAAGCCTTTTATTGTTTTAATATTGATGATTTTGGCAAAAAAGTAAAGAAATATCAAAAATCCCTATCTGAAAAAAATTAGCATATCATGAAAAGGTTCTCTAAACGACTTATTAACCTAATCATCTGAATCAACAAATTAACTCTAAACACCTGCAGAAGATTCCAGGGGCTTTTAAAAACTCCCAGCCTGGTTCATTACTCAAAACCACAATCATGGGTCAGACTGCTGACCTGACTGCTGTCCAGAAGGCCATCATTGACACCCGCAAGCAAGAGGGTAAGACACAGAAAGACATTTCTGAACCAATAGGCTGTTCCCAGAGTGCTGAATCAAGGCACCTCAGTGGGAAGTCTGTGGGAAGGAAAACGTGTGGCAGAAAACGCTGCACAACGAGAAGAGTTGTCAGTCAGTGATGGTCTGGGGTGCCATGTCAGCTGCTGGTGTTGGTCCACTGTGTTTTATCAAGGCCAGGGTCAATGCAGCTATCAGGAAATTTTGGAGCATTTCATGCTTCCACCTGCTGAAAAGCTTTATGGAGATGAAGATTTCATTTTTCAGCACGACCTGGCACCTGCTCACAGTGCCAAAACCACTGGTCATTGGTTTAATGACCATGGTATTACTATGCTCAATTGGCCTGCCAACTCTCCTGACCTGAACCTCATAGAGAATCTGTGGGCTATTGTGAAGTTGAGAGACACAAGACCCAACACTCTGGATGAGCTTAAGGCCACTTTCGAAGCATCCTGGTCCTCCATAACACCTCAGCAGTGCCACAGGCTGATTGCCTCCATGCCACACCGCATTGAAACAGTCATTTCTGCAAAAGGATTCCCAACCAAGTATTGAGTGCATAATTGAACGTAATTATTTGAAGATTGACCTTTTTGTATTAAAAACACTTTTCTTTTATTGGTCGGATGAAATATGCTAATTTTTTGAGATAGGGATTTTTGGTTTTTCTTTACTTTTTTGCCAAAAACATCAATACTGAAACAATAAAAGGCTTGAACTACTTCAGTTGGTGTGCAATGAATCTAAAATACATGAAAGTTTAATGTTTATCAGTACATTACAGAAAATAATGAACTTTATCATAATATACTAATTTTTTGAGAATGATCTGTATATACTACATAAAGGTGGCACAGGTCAGGCAGAAAAAACAAAAACAATCTAGTAGTTTAGCATTTTAACATTTAATGATATTTTATTTTATTTGCTTTAAGCCAATAATAAGCAGCTTCTTAGTATTTTCTTGCAATTTTACTGTCTTTCACTTCTAAAAATAGTGTAAATTACATTGAACTACAAACAGCACATTCTTGCGGAACAGTACGATTCGTGAGAACCACCAATACAGTTTTGATTTATTTTAGCTGAGTACTACTTTTGAAATGTAGTGTTTGAAATGTCCTGATGCATCTCAGTAATCGAGGTAGAAAAAAATCAAAAAGAAAAAAAATGAGTAGGTCCTCTGGATGGGTTCTTCTTTAGTGAAACGTTTCATCTCTCCTCCAAGAGACTTCTTCAGTCTGATGAGTTTCAGGTGAACTCAGCCTTATAAGCACTGCCTCCATATGGTGGACAAACAGGTTAGTTTTCTTAAGAAAAAACGTCCACCATTAAACAGAAGTGGAGGCCTTCGTGTCCAGTTGTCCTCCTAAAATGCTGTTATTGCAAGTATGACTCAGCCCCCTGTGAGCAAAAGGTGTGAATCAGGGCCCCAACGATTACCAACGCAAAGAGGGGAAAAAAGAAAAAAACTAGGGGACATTGAACCCCACTTGTACTCACTACATACACATAACAAAACACCAAATAACCACAGCCGAAGCATCCAAACTAATAAGTCAGGTGATGGGGCACATGACCCTCTATGAATAATAGAGCTAATCAAACCTTTTGGTAGGCGATGGCCCTCTTTTGTATGTGACTAATCTGTTTTTCCATGTGGAGGCAGTGCTTATAAGGCTGAGTTCACCTGAAACTCATCAGACTGAAGAAGTCTCTTGGAGGAGAGACGAAACATTTCACTAAAGAAGAACCCATCCAGAGGACCTACTTATTTTTTTCTTTTTGAGTAGTGTTTCAAAGTTCATTTAGGAAACAAGACCTAGTTAGAATACAAATTTTAACATCCATGCTCAGTCTATGAACTTTTTGAACTTGCCTCTTTGAAAGAATTTTTCTGTGACAGAAGTTTGCGAAGACAACATTTTCACTTTTATGTACTTTTTAATGTTTATGACAGAAAACCGCAGGCCTTCTGAGCGAGTGACAGCTTGACAACATTTTCCTTTTCAGATTTAGTATTCATTTGAAAATAAAAAATAAAGTGGTGAAATGGAAAGATAGCAACTGAGAAGTCAGGGGAAAAAATGTAGCTAACAACAGACCTAACAATCTGATGCATACCTTTCAACCTAACTGTAATGAAAGTGGGGAGAAGGGTGATGCAAACACTTTGGAAAACCGTGTAACCCATCACTGGGATGTCTGTAGAGCAGCAGCTGAAAGCAAGAGGCTGCTCTGTAGTCAATCAACATGTTATTTCTAGGAATACAACACAGGCTTTACTTTCTTTGATACAGTGACAGAACGTGACATTTTTCAATTCATATTGACGATGAGAAGCAAACAAAAGCAGACAAGCATAAGTGTTTTTGGTGCAAAACCTGCCAGACCTGATAGAAATGTGATTGTTTGCTTGCAAATGACCTCTGGCTTCCAAACAAAAGGTATACTAAAATACACAGTACAGGTTAGATGATGTACTTTGTGCAACRTGAACAAGAACTAATATAAATGGCAGACATAAAACTTGTTAGGTTCCATTTTAATTGGTGTTGTATAAATGGTTGGGTTTACATAGATGCAATGATTTGTGACATAGCTTATATTATAGATAGAAAAGTATATTGGCACTAATGCGTCAGACTTACTGATGGGATTGCAAAAGGTCTTAACAAGCTGCAAATGTTGGAGACTAGTCGGCAACTTAAAATTACAACAAAACTGTAAACAAATGGGCAAATTTTCAGTTACTTTCATTGAAATCTGTGTGTTTGCCACTAAGTGATCAGTGAATAGGGTTAGGCAATAYTGACAGAAAAAAATATCCCAATTAATTGTAGCATTTAGCCGATAAYAATTAATATGACAATTAGTAGATGACAATTGCACTTGCATGTGGTCGATATTGTGGCCTTGGTCCACATTTTCCAGGTTTCCTCGTACTTCGATTTATGTCGTTTATGGTGCCTTCCACCATTGGGCTCACATGCTCACCTGATAGTGATAGTGTGCTGTATACAAAAATGCATCATCATCACGACACTAATTCAAGTGCAAAGTGGCAAATTTTAAATGTTGACAGTTTTACTGAAGATAAATTGCCCACGATATGATTTTACCCAACCCTAGCAGTGAGTTAAAAAAGCAGCCAGTTTTTGAAAATTGAAAATTTGTTGCCCACCTCCACCCACGGCTCGGTTTTTACACACCTTGACTATGCTCTATATTTAATCTACAGGAGTACACCCTGAAAATGAAAACATGCAGATTTGCACCATTTTCTCAATAATTATTATTCATCTTTGTCATGGTTTTTAGACCTAGACATATTTTCTGTCAGAGCAGAGCTCCCCTATCTCTGTCAAAATATAGTTCTTGCACTCTTGAAAAAGATCAGAAATAAAACTGAAACTAGACAAATGTGGAAACTCTTTACTATTTTGAGTGACACTGTGTTGCTTAAATGTATCAAACACATTCTCAATTCAAGTGACAAAATTGCATGGCTCTGCAACTCCTGTGAGGAAAGTGAGAAACTTGAAAGTAATTTTGGAGGGTCTCTCACAAATGCTGTTTGCCGACTGGTCACCAGCTGTCGCAACCCGATGAGAAACTGGCTAAATAAACCTGTGATTGTCTCAAAAGTGCCTAAAATTATTTAATTTAGAACAAAGTACAAATAGGAATGTAATTAAATTCAGGTACTAATGCTGCTATGAAACAGCTCACAATTACTAGGAATGACACTTTGCTGTACAACTTTATATATGTCATAATGGCAACTTGTGGCCAGTAAACTACATTTAATACTCATTTGATTTGTTCATAAATGTGCCAGTAATGGTGCCAAATGTAACCAAATCTAGACTGCGATCACAAACTTGTTTAAGACATCAAAAAGACCTTCAACTACAAAACGAAATTCATTCCTGAGTCCACAATTATATTTAAGTACAAAGATGTGTTTGTGAAAAACTATGCTTTGAACGATGACAAACAATCCTGAAAGATACTGAACCTTCACTACAACCAAACATGAAACACTATTCAAACACAAAAACATTACAAACTCAGCTTACCAAKATCTCAAGATGACTTTTTTGTCTCCACTGTGAATGTGTGGTACTAAAATCAATGTGAAGTATTGAAAGCAACACATAATGTTTAAAAAAACAGAAGGAAATATCGGTTTAAAATGAAATATTCATGGTGTGATGATTATCATGCTGAGCTTCAGGAACCTGCCCTCTTTCTCATAGATGGTCTAGATTAGTATCTCACACTTTGTCCCTTTAAAGAGGACAGTTCAGTTGTCACTCACGATTGTGTGAATAGATAGGAAACAGTAGAGTTACTCTTCCTTACCTTACTGCTTTGAACAAACTCCACATCTCTTAGCTGGCTAAATTAAAAATCTGAGAGTTTGGGTTCAACCCAATCCTCTATTGAAATCTCTATGAAGGTTCTCTGCAGAGATTCGTAGATAACAGAACATAACCTTTGTTAAAAGCAAACTGCTAAGAGTCAGCTTCTAAAGTTGCAATATCTGCACATGACGGCGATTAGTAATGAATTTATAGCATCAATACTTTTGTCAATAATAATTCGTTTTTTTGTTGTTTTATTTTTATCTGCATCCTGTTGATGCTTTAATCATCATCATATTGAAACAAGTCAMAATGCTTTCCGTGTGTTTTTAGTGTCATTGTTTTGTTCCTGTTAAACAAATAAAAATGACATGATGACAGAAATTTGGCTCTAAAAATCCTTTTAATTGCTAGTCTTTCGAAAAAAAAATTTCACAACGAGAAAGATGCCAAAGCGTTTCTTTCAGCATTTTATCTTCTCTTTTCTATGCAACTACTTTCTCAGTCATACTCTACAATTTGAACAATGATTGTATCTTCCAGCCTTTTTTTTTTTCATTTTAATGTTTGTCTTCACACCTTCACCTATATTGTTAAGCAGAAGCTACATTCCTCGTAYCACTGAAAGCCTTTGGCCCACACAATCTATTCATACATTGACTCTTAACCCTGTTAAGTTATTGCAAAATGCATAAACCTTTTGAATGCATGTGTGAACACATTAATATCCGTATGTTAAAAGTTGCATTCTTAACAAAAAGGGAATAATAAACAGTATGTGTGGGCAACAGCTGTCATCCACTCAGAACTGACACTATCAGAGAGAACAAAAATATGTGAAATATACAGAAAGACACCAGACAGAAAGTGAAGAGTGTCAAACTGAAAAAAAGAAACAAATATCACATTGTTCTGTGGGATTTGATTTTCTTTTAAATTTTTACGCAAAATGCAATAAATATTTGTGAAGCGACAGTATGAATGACAGTAGGACAGTAGCACATATTGTGCTTTTCCTTCCTACATATTGTCAAACATTCGAACAAAAATCAAGGACTGTAAGACGTTTTCCGCATWATTTGCACATCCTCATTCGTCTCTGTGGGCAGAATCTTAATAGAAATGTGTGTGTTGCTCTTCTTTGTGTCTGCAATCGTTTGAATGCTGTGTGTGTATATGTTCAGGTGTGAATCTCTGCAGGATTATGTGGTGTGTGTTTGTGTGTGTCCGTGACTGTCAGCCACTGATGTACGTGCCTTCATTCGTTTCAGAGGATTATTCATTTCCTTTTGAAGTGAGGCAGCTCGCCCGGCGAGGAAGGTCTGAAAGGCGGCCGAGAGCAGGCTTTCATACTTTTCCAACAGCAGCTTGTCGTCTGGGGGGTAAATACGTCTGTAGGCCGAAGAGACAGAGAGAGACAGGGGCAAGGAGAAAATAAAATACAGGGAACAAGAAGTAATAAAGAAGGGTTATCAGCATTGGGAGACGGGACAAGTGAGAGTGGGGAAATAAAGGATGGAGAAGAGAAAAAAGGAGTTTAGGGTCACCAAAGTAACAAGAATAGGGAGATTGGGGTTAAGCAAAGGAGACATGTGAGGTTAAGAGAGGCACAGTAACAGATTTCAAAGGGAGGGGTTAGTACAGTATAAAAGAGCAAAAAAGAAGAAGGGGGCGAAATGTGTTGCCAAAGAGATGGAGAGATAAATAAAGGGCAGGCGTACAGAGAGGATAGGAGGCAACAAAACAAAGAACATTTTAAAAGAAGAGACAAATGGATGAATTGAGGCACAGCGAGGTCAAGTCACAGCAGGTGTGAGTGGTGGTTGAACATGAAAAAGCGCGTGTGAGACAGGAAACATGGAGGGAGGAAAATATTTCAGTGAAAGGTGTGAGGAAATGGACAAAAGAAAGATGTGAAGCAGAATAAAGGGGAAACAAAGCAGAAGAATGGAGCAAAGAGAAAATACAAAAGACATGTATAACTGAAGACCTCGAGTCAAGAAAATGTGCAAACTTCATTTAGGTGCTAATGTACCTATTAACACATCTTGACAGTGCTCAGTGATTAGCTTAGAGATGAAATTAAAACATTGTACAAATCTTTGTCTGGTTATCCTCGTAACCTTTCTCCAAACACCCGTGCGTCATCACTTTGGCCAGTAAATCAAAACAATGTAAGCTTTTTTAAAGAAAATTACCACTAGCCGGTGCAAGTGCAAAAAKAAGAAAAACAGTCTGGCATTATCAGAGAACTATCAAGAGACAAAGTTCCCATAAGTTGGCATTTTGATTCGAGGGGACAGAAAAAAAAGCCATGAAAAACAAGGAAAGACCTGAACCTGCCACTAGGGAGCAAAAGCAAGCRTATCTGTCATACCGGTGCCAAGCCTGGGTAAATGATTAAGGTTGCATCACGAAGGGGATCTGGCTTAAACACGTTTGTCAAAACAAATACACAAGTTTGTCTAAATGAGACCAAATGGGACCAGATGAGGGCCAGATTGACAACTACCACCAGTGGTGGTGAAAAACAGGCTGCTTGCAAAAATTRTGCTACTGTTAGTCRAAGACCACAAAGAGGGAAACGTGCCAGTAGACTGAGGTAGAACAGGAAAGTCAAGAGTGTAAAACTGAGGGAAGTAACTCTAAATGTAGGAWCAATGACAACCAAGGGGAGAAAGYTGACTGACATGATGCAGAAAAGGAAAGTAGATATTTTATGTGTGCAAGAGACCAAGTAGAAGAGCAGCAAAGATCGGAGCACTGGGACAGGGTTTGAGGTATTTTTACTGTGCTGTGGATAGGAAGAGAAATGGAGTAGAGGTAGTCCTAAAAGAGGGGTTTGAAAGGAATTTAGTCRGGTGACAAAAGTGTCAGACAGGATGATGTGACTGAGGGTAGAAGTGGAAGGTCAAATGTTGAATGTTGTCAATGGTTATGTACCACAGGTTGGAGGTGAGGCAGAGGAGAAAGATCATTTCTGGAAGGATCTAGATAAAGAAACAGAGAGTGAAGGGTAGATAGAGTGGTGATCAGAGCAGACCTGAATGAACATGTTGATGAAAGAAACAGAAGAGATGAGGAAGTGATGGGCAGGTTTGGTCAAAGAAAGGAACCAGGAAGGACAGATGRTGGTGGATTTTGCCAAGAGGATGGAAATGGTTGTAGCCGACACCCATTTCCAAAAGACAGGGGAAAGTAAGGTGACCTATAAGAGTGGAGGCAGGAGTATGTAGGTAGGCTATTCTGTGTAGAAGTAACTTGAAGCAGACCCTTGACCTTTAACAAGAATATAAAAAAAGGAAGTGAATTTTAATGCAAGCAAAAATCCAAATAAAGAACACCTGTTTTACTATTAAATTGAATCCCCTCTGGCTTTAGTAATTTCCTAGTTACAGAGCAGTAAACTGAATAACTGTAAAACCTCCAAGGACAATTCAGTGTATACATACCTCTTGAGCTTTCTCTTTTATTTTGAAAAACATATACAGTATACAGTATACTGTAGCTATCTCTGTCTTCTTCTCTCAGTAAAAATATCCACACTAAATATGGACTAGTAGTGGCTCAAATTAGCCACTTGATGGACTGTTAAGAAATAGATTTTTCATTGCATAGATTTGGTGGTGCATTCATGGATTGGGGGAAAAAAAGTTACAAAAAAATCATTTTGAATCAGTCCATACTAAGAGGATCAGTTCAGCCAATCAGCAGCCATGCTTAAAAATCTGCCAATTCCAGTCACCAGCCAAGCAATCAGTTTATTTGTAAATAAAACTATTTTAAGCTATTGTAAACTCTCAGCTGGGCTTCTCATGGATGTCTCGGGGTCCTGGCTTTCCTCACCCGATTTCATCTAACAGCCAAATGTAAGTGAGTTCATTACCCATAGTCATCTAATGAGCAGCAGTGTGTTAATCAGAGTTCACCGCTGYGCCGGGGCACCATTTGAATGCTAAGAGGTCTTTATTAGGGATGCTCCAGACAGACCTCTGCCTGCCTGATTGACTGTCTGGCAGCCTGTCGAGGAAGAGGAAGGAGGTGACAGCACTTCACACAGGCCTGGAGCAGCATTCTTACTAGGCATCCAGTCAAGTGATGAGTCAAGAAGTCACTTAGACATGGGGAGGCAGCAAGACAGGTGAGTGTGTGTGTGTGTCGCCCAGTTSCGTATGTATATGTTTGTGTGTATATTTGCGCTAAAACTTTGGAGGTGATAAAATTCAAGGCTTGAAAAGGCGTAGGTGTTTGCACACGTGGAATAAAGAGAAGGAGGCAGAAAGAAAAAATGGTGAGAGTGAAAGAGAGAGAACAGTTTACATGGGACAAGCKGTAAATGTGAACTTGCTAAGTCATGCTGTAAGGTAAATCTGCTCCATCTGCGAGGTTAGAAATCAACACGCTCACTTTCTTCCAAAGCACCAGCTGGAGTTTGAGTAGGAAAAAAAGGAAAACAAGTGTGGAGGGAAAAGAAGATAGCTTGCAGCTGGGAAACGAAGTTTACATGCTAAATTTAGTTTCTAAAATGTGGCAAAGTTAGGAATGTGCCGARAGGGATAGTAGTTTGTCATTGTAAACTTTGTCTGATTTCCTTCTTTCCATTTTAACTTGTATTATTCCAGTCTTTTGCATTCTCCAAAATGTTCAGCTGTTCCTTCTGTCACCAGCAATTTTTATTTTCACAAAAGCATGGCACATTGGCACGACTCCCAAACAGGCACAAAGACAGTGGGTGGGTCTCCAAAAGAGAAAGCTCATAGTGCCTGACTGGATGGGTGTTTTMTTACCTGTAATTCCCCAGATGTTGGTTTTCATGCTCTTCTCTGGAAATCTGCTTGCGAACTTGTGCAAGCCGCTCTTTCTACAAACAGATTTAAACCAAAAGGAAAAATAGTAAGAACATGTTTTATAGTAATTGGTACCAAATAATGCAATTCTATATAAAAGGAGCTCAATAGAAAAGAAAAACACGTTTTCCWTCACTGACTCTTAATTTCCTTTTTTTACACTCAGTACATTACAAAGGTGTAATTGTGGGGCTTAGCTGTTAAACTTGTCATAAAGCAAAGATGAGGTGACCACTTTGCTACTAGCACTGCAATACCATTAAGCACTGAGTGATAGAAGGCTTCAGTCGACCTAAACCCGATCTCACACTTCAGCCAAAACAGCACTCCAAGATGAGGTTGTGGCCTTTTTAAAGGAGTGCCTCTGCTGCGCCGTTCCACGTTCCCACTGATTACCAGTGTGGCTATCAAAAGGCTAATCAAAGAAGGTGGGAGGCATTAAAACGCAAGTAGCTGGCAGTTTTCACTGTGCAGAGGAGAAACGTTCCCCTGACTTCTTCATTTCATGGAAAAAATAATTACCAGTATACATTTCTCAGAAAACTTTGACTCTTTGACATGAAGAAAAAGGTGACGTTTATAATTTGTTCTCTCTTTCTCTCTCATTCTGTATATGCAGGGGTTACTCAATGAAACTGAAACACCTGGTTTTAGACCATAACACACCTTTCAGACAGCTTCCTCTTGTGTCCACAGTTRATCCTGTTGGATGTGGTTGGTCCTTCTTGGTGGTATGCTGACATTACCCTGGATACTGTGGCTCTTGATACATCACAAAGACTTGCTGTCTTGGTCACAGATGCACAAGCAAGATGTGCACCAACAGTTTGTCCTCTTTTGAACTCTGGTATGTCACCCATAATGTTGTGTGCATTGCAATATTTTGAGCAAAACTGTGCTCTTACCCTGCTAATTGAACCTTCACTCTCTGCTCTTACTGGTGCAATGTGCAATTAATGAAGACTGGCCACCAGGCTGGTCCAATTTAGCCATGAAACCACCCACACTAAAATGACAGGTGTTTCAGTTTCATTGTCTTACCCCTGTATATTAGGGGTGCAATAACACACATATCTGTATCAAACCGTTCAATACAGTACTCTAGGTTCAACACACACTTGTATCGAACAATACAGATTTTAAAATGTATGTTTTCAGCTTGTTTTTTTAAAAATGCACTGTGTGGAAGGCTCAGTGGATCTGCGTTCGACTAGGCACCTAGGCTGCATTGTCGAGCGCAGATCCACTGAGAAACTTGCTGTTCCAGCAACATTTTATAAACCTTACTTTTGAGGTCAAACAAAGGCTCATAATCAATTTCAAAAACACAAGTTAAGAAGGGCATCGTAATTTCTCCTTTTTTTTGTATCAAAAAATATTGAACCATGAGACTAAAGTATTGAAATGATGAATTTTCTGTATCGTTGCACCCCTAATAAATTAATATATCTCTTTTTTTACGAGAAATTAAGAAAATATATTTATTTTATTGGGTTTTTTTTATTTGTTTGTTTCTTTGGGTTTTTTTTTTTTTTTCAGTTCTGGACTGATACTCCATATGAGCAGTTTTAAAAAAAAAATCTCAGACTCTAAATATAAAGTTATCGTGTGATATATGATCATGGCTAATTCCTGCACTGCTACCATTTTAATCCTCATCCTGGTTCTGAATGTTTAGGAGGGAAAATCAATGAGTATCCCCTCAGTTTCCTTGCACACAGCATTTTGTACAGAAGCTTAGCAAATACAGCGATGCAGCTGGTTTGTGTTCAGAAATTAAAAGAACTACAGTTTTGCTCCAGAGACCGTAAAAATCTGCAAGACTTCATATGAAAGTCTGGTCTATCTTTTATTAAAAACAGCTGTAATATTCTATTTGCTTGTTCCGTACCAGTTCTTCTCTTCTTCTTTCCAGTGTGTGACGTTGTTTCTCCCAGTCAGAGGATGAAGCTGAGAGTTTCTTCATGGAGCCGTGTCCATAAAGCCGTCTCTGAGCTTCGGCCTTTTGTTGGGCCAGGTTACGTTTCTTATCACTGGCCCTGGACCAGAATAGAGAATGTGAAACAGAAAACTTTTAAAAACAATTAAAATTTATGTTCCCTCTCACCCGCAAAGTCATAAGTTTAGTGGGGTTTTTTTCATTCATTCATTTTGTTGGTTTTCAAGGTTCCTTTCGGTTCTCTGAGGATTTCAATCAATCAATCAATCAATAACTTTATTTTTGGTAAATTTTTCATATTAAACGTTAAAAAACAACAACAAACAAACAAAACAGAAACAATAAACAAACTCATAATTTACCAAAAAAAA